ATCCTCTTGCTCAGCTGATAAATCTCTTGTGCTTCATGGAGAAAATGGAAGCATTCAGAACCTACCACCAGTGTTACTGTGGCTTAAACAATGGAAATTTATTCTCTCACAGTTCTGGAGGCTAGAAGCTCAAGATCAGGATGGTGTCAGGGTTGGTTTCTGGTGAGGCCTCTCATGCTGGCTTGTAGACAGCTGCCTTCTTGCTGCATTGTCCTCACATGGCCTTTCCTCTGTCTGTGCACACAGAGAGAGACAGAGACAGAGAAATCTGGTGTCTCTTCCTCTTCTTATAATGACACTAATCCTATTGGATTAGGGCCCCACCCTTATTACTTCATTTAACTTTAACTACATCATTAAAGGCCTATCTCCAAATACAATCTCATTGGGGATTAGGGATTCAACATATGAATTTGGGGAGGACACAATCACTCCATAATGTATCCCCTTTCCTTTGCTTAAGGACATGTCTGTAGTAAATCTCTGTCATTATCTATTTTTCCCTCTCTACTGCTACATCTTTCCCATCAGCCTACAAACGTACTGTCAGTTCTCTCATCTTACCAAAAAACAAAACAAAACAAATTAGCCCTCTGTACATCCACTTCCATTGCTGCTTCCACCCCATTTCTCTCCTTCCCTTTGTGACAAAATTCTGAATTAACTGTAATGTATTCCAGTGCCTCTCCTCTTCTCTCTTGAACCCCCTCTAATCCAGCTTTCACTACACCAGTGATCACCTATGACCTCCATGTTGCCAAACCTATATGATCAATTCTCAGTCTTCACTTTAATGCTGGATATCTATTAGGCATCTCCAAGCTTAGTATGTTCAAAACTGATCTCTTGATCTTCCCTCTAAAACTTATTTCACCAATAATTTTTCCCATGTCAGGTAAGGACAATCTCATTTTTCTAGTTGCTTAGGACCAGAATCTTGAAGCCATCCTTGACTCATCTCTTTCTATCATACAGCATATCCAGTTGATTCTATTTTCAAATTTTTCTCAGAATCCGACTTCTCACCACCTCCTGTGTTACCATTCTGGATTATTGGCAGTTGCCTCCCAATTGGCTTCTTTGCTTGATTCTTGCCCCAAACAAAAGCTAGAGTATTCTTATTAATACTTAAGTCAAATTATGTATTTCTCCAATATGGAAATCCCATTAGTGACTCTCCATTTCATTCATAATAAAAGCCACATTCCTTACAATTAAGTGCAACACCATGAAAGATCTGGGCCCTTGTTCTCTCTCAGACCTTGTCTTGTCTGAGGGAGACATTGTTTACTGACCTAAACGCAGTGGCCACCTCACCATGCTGTGTCTGCCTCTGCCTCGAGGCCTCTGCATGGACTCCTCCTTCTGCTTGGAATGCTCTTTCCCTAAAGGCCACCGTGGCTCTTTTATCTCCTGCAGGTGGCTCTTTTATCTCCTGCAGGCTTTTGTTCAAATATCACCCTCTCAGTGAGGTCCTCCACAACTTCCATATTTTTAAAATTATAAAGGACCCCCTGATTTTCATCACTTCCCATCTCCCTTTCCTGCTTTACCTTTCTCCATGGCACTTGCACCATCTAAAATATAACTTTTAAAAGTTATTTTATTTACTCCCTAGGACAGAAGTTCCATAAAGATAGAGAGGGATTCTTGTCTGTTTTGTTCACTGCTATAGTCCCAGCTGCCTAGATGGATGAATGAATTGAATATTTAGTTGTAAAGGAGCTTATTTGAGCTTGTGAGACTTGGGGGCCACCTAGCCACAAGCTCATGAAGAGAAACTGCAGCCAAGACACAAGCTTTCCTGCTTAACTGGCATCTCTGACTCCAACTTTTTTAGGGAAGAGCAACTTAATCTTTATGACATTAGAATTAATCTTTAGATTTCCTAGTGCATAAATATTTTAAATATTTTTAAAGCACTTAGAACAATGCTTGACACGTGCTAGGAGCTCTATAAGTGTTTATTTAAAAAGCAGCAAACACTTTATCAAGAATTTTATGATAAATAACATTGACAGAGTTTGAACCAAGACAAATAAACCTCAAGAGGTTCATAGTGGCCCTAATTCCATAATGAAGAGTGGCTTTATTAATTATGGAGCTGGAGTAAAGTCTGATGGCTTACTAGAAAAGTAGCAGTAGTCACAGACCCTCGCTACTCTGCAAAAAACAAAACTACCCTGTGTACTTGATGGGATTACAGATATAAAGAGATTTATGGAATAAACTCTAAAGTATGGCTTTTGAACTTAAGTCCATAAAACATATGGTCATGAAAGGATTACTTTACAGGTATGGGCTGAAGTGATAGAAAAGGAAAAGGGCTTGTACAGTATCTATTCATTCATTAGGTGAATGTTTAGGTACCAGGCACTGTGTTAGGGGCTAGGACCTGCCTTCTAGGATCTCACAAGCCAGCGGGAGAGAGAGATGAGTTAACCAGCAGTGACCAGTTCAGCCTTAGTGTTGTGATAGAGGTGTGCCCAGAGTGGGTTTGAAAGCACAGAATTGCTTCCTCATCCCATTTGTGATATTGAAATAAAAAATCATTTGCTGCCAGTTAAACATAGTGGACAGAACTGACCTGTTTATCTCTACTCTTTGAAAAAGTCCCATAAAAATTGAAGTAATGAAATTGAAAAAGGCATGAACCAGTGGTTTTTAACCTTGGCCGAACATTAGAAATAGCAGCAGAGACTTTTAAAATCCTAATGCCTAGGCTGTACCTTAGATGAATTAAATCAGGACCTCTGGGGACAGGACCCAGGCATCAATGTTTTTATACTATGATTTCTGCACAGAGAACAGGAGAGGAGACAACAATAAGAAATTTAGTGTTTTAGATCTCATGAAGGGGCTGGACCTGAAATGGACTTAGCAGAACTGAAAATACCAAAAAACCAGTTTCTGGGGGAAAGGAGACTTGGAGGATACCAATGAGAAGAAGCAAGATTTTTCCTGTTGTAGAACTTGGGAAAGGCTCAGGAATCCAGAGACTGGATATGGGGTAGAACGGAGAAGAGGTGGATTGGTTGAAAGTCTGTATAAGGAACAGTCAGATGACCCAGATCAGATGAGCCAGATTTGATACCTGATTGCCTCCTCATACCCCTGGTTTGCTCCCTGGAGAGATGGAATGAGAGAGGGACTCAGGTATAGCCGAGGGCAAAAATGAAAACGGACTTGTGCGAAAGTTGCTGTCCTGAACACCTAGGCACCCTTCTGAAAACACTGGCAGCCAGATCTGTGCTGCCAGACAGTACACTGCAAGAAGCAGCTCTAGGCAACTGGTCCAAGAAGAAAGTCCGGTCAGATACTGGCATGAGAGTGTTCAGGCCTCTCCATAACCCTCTGAGGTGATGTTCACCATTCACAAACCCCTGCACATCTGAGCTGCTTCTGTCCAGCTTTAGAGGTTCTCAATTTAAATAAGAAAGGACACCAAAGATCATCAGACATTTGAGGAAAGTATCTAAAATGAAAGACAAAGATCAAAACAGGCATGGTGATGTTCACCATTCACAAACCCCTGCACATCTGAGCTGCTTCTGTCCAGCTTTAGAGGTTCTCAATTTAAATAAGAAAGGACGCCAAAGATCATCAGACATTTGAGGAAAGTATCTAAAATGAAAGACAAAGATCAAAACAGGCAGGGAATTCAGGAAAAAACACAACCCTAGTAAGCAGAAAAAAATTTAAATATATAAGTGGATAGATGTATAAACTGATGATAGACACAGATATGAAATTAATAATGTCAGGAGAAATGAGGAATATATTGTGAGGCAGTATGCGATGTGTCCTAGCTAATGAAGCCCCTGCTTTCTGCAGCCAGACCGTGGGGGACTGAGTCCTGGCTCCTCATCTCCTAGCTGTGTGATGCTGGGCAAGTTACTTAACCCCTTGGTGCCTCAGTTTCCTCATCCGCAAAAAGGAGGGTGATGATGGTGCTGTCCAGAGAGCATGGAAAAACTCTTGGAAATCAGATGTATGATGGCAGAATTTTTTTTAAATCTTATAGAAAGTTTTAAAGTTAGTAAAAGTTGAGGAAACTCTAAGAAAAATCAAAAAGACAAAGAAATGGAAATTGAAACAATAAGAAAAAGAGATGATAAACTTGAGAGGTACAACAATTAGAGTTGCAGAGAGGGAGAGACAGACAGAGAGGAGAAAAGAGGAGAGGAAATCATGAGAGTAATAACAAAACCTTTCCCAGAAATAAAGTACCCAAGCTCAGACTGAAAGGGCCTCCTTCGTGCCAACATGGTTGATGGGAAAAAGGCCCAGTCTAGGGCATGTCACTGTGACATTTTCAAACACTGAGGATAGTATGAAGACCCCAAACGTTTCCAGAGAGTGGAAAGCAGGTCACATACAAAGGATTGGAACTTGAGTGGCAGAGGAGATAATCAAGTTCTAAGCAATGTGGACTTATTCTGGAAAGGTCACCCTAGTTCCAGGACATAAAACAGTTTGATTTAGATATGTTTGTCACTTCAAAACATAGCTCTTGTGTGTTAGACAGAGTGGGGGAGGCACAACTCTTTGCTCAGTAAACCTAAAAATCTCATATCTGCCTTTGTCTAGGAGCATCTGTTTCTTTTATTTTTAAACTAAGGTGAAAGGGTTTTAAATTTACCTTCTTTTCCTCCAGTTACCTCTCCCCTTTTTCTTTCCTTTTTTCTGTCCTTTGTTTCTTCTGCCTTTCCTTTCCTTTACCTTACTTCTGCTGTGTCTGTTTCTGTCTCTCCTCCCTTTCTCTTTCTATCCACAGAATTCTTGTGTTTGTCTAATAATTGGCAGGAGAGATCTTTTTTTTTTTTCTTTTTAAGTGATGAATAGTTGGCATTAGATCAAAGACAAGCCCTGTGGTTTTCTGGCTGCCCCAGAAGGGCGGTGCAGCTGGCAGGCATCCCAGCTGCCTGGTGATAGGCATGTGGAAGAGATACCAAGCTCACAGGTCACCATGTGTGTGTTCATGTGCGTGTGTTTTTCAGGCCAACAGCAGGCTGAAGCAGATTGAGAAGGAATATACCCAGAAGCTTGCCAAATCTTCACAGGTAAGCAACATTAATAGAAACAAAACAGTAAAACCAAAACAAACAAACAAACAAACAAAAAAACCCGAAACCTGCACATAAAAGCCTTTGCACTTTTAGTTTAAGAGTTAAACTAAATTCTTTTCAGTTTTTCATGCATTAGTATCATATTTGTATAGGTAAATAAACAAATATGCTTTTAACATTTCAGTCTAATTAAAAATCAAGAAAAATTAGGCATAGTGAACTGTTTGAACCAACACACACATATACACATGCGTGTACACACACTCAAATGCTGTAAAACCAGCCTGTACACTTGAACAAGCCCAGGCTGAAATACATTTCACAAGGGAAGGAGATACACACCTATATTTGTGATGTAAGCAGTTTGATACCATCTGTGCTTTTTTGTAATATTCCATTTCACTGTACCTAAAATCTGCTTAACAACAAAATTCAAAATGACAAGTAATGCTAGGGTAAATTAGCAGCTCAACTGTTGACTTCCTTGGAGGAAAAGAGAATTATAAGTCCCTACATCCATGTCTTGCTGTCTGTCATTACTATAATAGTTTTAGTATAAGAAAGGCCAACAATTGAATGCTTGTTCCTACTTGAAAAATGATGCTCAGAGTACTTTTTCTGCATAAGTTGTTACAGTGATATCCAGTAGAATCATTTAGGGAATCCCAATCATTCCTTAGTTGTATGAGTGGTTCTAGAACAAATAAATACTACTTATCTTCATTTTGCAGATGGATAAATTAAGCCATTTAGTTTTGTGAGTGTAATATCTAATAATTTTTAGAATCAACTTGTCTTAGTATATTTACATGTATACAGAGATATATGGTAGTAAACTGGAATTTATTTTTTTGAGTTACCACACAATAGAAGTAACAGCAACACGGCCACAAAACTATAATAGTACTTAACGTTTATGGGGCACTAACCATATTGACTCATTCAGTCTCCATTCATAATGACTCTGGGATTAGGAACTATTATTGGCCCCATTTGTCCATTGAGAAAACCGAGACTGAGAGAGATGAGATCACACGAGTTAGCAAGTGACTAAGCCAGGACAGACCGGGACCAGCAACGGGATCGCGCAACCCTCGGTGTTGCCCCCACTCCTCGCTCAGCCAGTGAGCCGCCGGTCTGCACGTGGGATCTGAACCCTCGGCGGGAGCGCCGCCGCGCTTCCCAAGCGGCGCACTGTAGCAGTGCTCCACCAGGCCGGCCCGAGAAATATCCTTTTTAATCCACTGAAAAAGATTCTTATAATCAAAAGAAATCTTATTACCCTAGAAGTTAAACTAAAACATGAAAACTCCCCAGCTGGCATAGCCTTTCCTCCTGCTTATTTTGCTTATGTTAAATGGGGAGGTAGACCGAGAGTGAGATTTATAAGATAGCTAACAAAAATGCTTCAGTAATGGAGAGTGTAAACAGGAGTGTTTAAGTTTACCTAAAGGAATGTATGAAGAAGCCTGATTAGTTGTTATTAAAGCAAATTAAATGTAAGTTAGCTAGTATGGAAGAAAGCCTAAGCTTTGGAGTCCAATGGACCTGGATTTGAATACTAGCCCTACCACTTCTGTGACCTTGAGCGAGTGACCTGCCTTCTTTGGAATTCAATTTCCTCATTTGTCAAGTGGGAGAGAAATACTTACCTCATAGGATAGTTTTAACTATTAAGTAAAACAGTGTCAAAAACATGTTCGGTACAGTGCCTGGTAGATACTAAAGCAGTTAATAACTGTTAGCTATTATAGTAGCAGTCCTAAAATTGCAATACAGAAAGGAAAAGAGGAAGGGAAGAATGAAAAAAGGTCTGGAAGGAACGAGAAATTATTTCTTCAGGCACTGTGTTTTGGAGTGTTTAAGAATTGATAAAATCTCTCTGCAAAATTTGGAGAGGCATAGGAATTGCTAACTATTTTCCCAATTAAATAAAGACATAAAGGAGGAGGAGAAGGAGGACGAAAACTAACCAATAAAAACTATTATAAACTATAAACATGATTTCATAAATGAAAGGGCAGTGCAACACCAAAAAAGAAAAAAATTCAGAGTTTAATAACAAAATAAAAGATAGTCCATCCTTCTCTTAAAGGTGTGCCGTAGGTTTAATGTACATGGTCTGTTAGGTCCTAAAAGCTTGATAACCTTACATTGATAATATTTTGCTTGCCACCTCTAAATCCATATAAATATTTATATGTATATAAACAATATGCATGTATTTATGTCTATGAACTGGCACTTGAGAAACATTAGTCTACAATGCCAGTTAGTTCAGAGAAACATAACAGATTATTTTTAAATGAACATTATAAAATGAAACCGTGGATTGACTTTTTCTGTTTTCAAGTGATAACTTGCCAGAGTCTCTAACTCATATCTCATCATGCTGATGAGAACGCTGGAAGCAAAGTTGCTTAACTCTTTTTATCAGGTTTTTAAAAAATCCTTCTCTCAAATAATAAAAAAGTAATAAAGTGAGTATATTAGTAGTGAATACATTGGTACCCAGGAGAACATCAGGATGAATTTGGAAAATATTTTAAATGTTTTCTTGTTGTAAAGGAAGTTACTTAATCTTTAAGATTTTATCAAGCTTTTAGGACCTAATAGACCACGCACACTAAATCCGCAGCACACCGAGGGCTATGTCCCTTCTGATATCCTCAACATGCGCCATGATGGCAACGCTGGCATCATCTCTGGATGTGCTACCAAGAATCATTGCCATCAAAATCACATATTTGTTCTTTTGATGTTAATATTATATATTATCCTTGCCTTTTCAACTTTAGTGCAGTTTTCCCCACTCAGCTCACTTACCTAGTGGCTATTTTTCAAAACGAGATATTGCCATTTTGCAAGAGTATTTGTAGTTGGAAATGTGGGGAAGACCAAAGCTGGGATGCCAGCGGAGCCCACCCACTGCCAGGGACCGGCTTCCCCACTGCCACACGCTGGCTTCCACATACCTGATGCACGTCAGCGCTTGTGCATACTCCACGTGTCTCACACGCTCCCAACTTCATGTCACTCGCCAGGGGCTAGACCAGAATGCAAAGGGTGTTGAGGAGCTTCAGTGTTCCTCTTACCTTCCAGTGTATGGCTTGTCTATTGTATTTTAAAGAAGAGTTTTATGAAAATCCCAAACTGTACTACAATCTAAAAGACAATAGAATGAGTTAAAGATAAAATCTTAACCTCTATTTAGAATTCTGTTACTTTTAAACCTTAAATAAGACCACTAACATTTATATAAAGTGTTAATTGCTTAATAATTATCATCATCTATTATAGCTTTCATGGGTTAGCTTGCTTACAGCATCAGCCCCAAATAGCTCTTCTTTTGTTTCTCAAAATATTTATTTTTAATATCTGTATGAAAATATTCTAATCCACTTCTTTCTCTGAAGCTAATACAGGGTAAACATTAGTTGAGTGGTGGCATTTTTGTTTTATGGTTTTTAATTATGATTCAGTCAGAACTGGAGGGTTTGACTATGATTGTATAATATTAGCTTTCATTATTCTCAAAAACTTTTTAATTATTATTCTGTTAAAAAGCTGGAGTATCAGTCTATAATTGGCCAGGTGATGATTTTATCTTATTTTCTGTGATTACAGTTCTACTACTTAAATATTTATTGAGTGCCAGTTATTTGCACTGAGCTAAGGTTAATTATTATTCTGTTAAAAAGCTGGAGTATCAGTCTATAATTGGCCAGGTGATGATTTTATCTTATTTTCCGTGATTACAGTTCTACTACTTAAATATTTATTGAGTGCCAGTTATTTGCACTGAGCTAAGGTGAAAATAATCCATTTTCTTATACTCTAGGTCTACAACCAATAGAATTTTGTTCCTTACCTAAAGCATTAATCTGATTATGATGACTTCTAAATCTTAAAATAAATATTAAATACTGTTTTTAAAAATTATCCTTATTTTGGCTACCTGTCTAAATCCATCTTATCAACTTTTCAACCAGTTTGTCTATTTATCTAGCCAAGGTGTTTACCTGAAGCGTTTTGACATTCTCTGCCTTAAGTCACCTTCATAAGTTTTGAAAAATAGCTTTCCAAAGATAATGTCAGTATTTCTCCCAAAGGAATCTCATTATTCTCCCAAAGAATGTAAGGTTTCATTTTCCCTGCAAAAGCCAGCATGCTCTCTTCAGAACATCCTGGATTTCACTGGGAGTCCCCTGTTTCGTGCCTTTGTGATTATTTGAAGTATCCCAAAATATTTTTATCTTCAGTCTTTGGTCAGTTACAAGCTAGTCTCAATCTTGGTATTTTTTCAGAGACAAAATTACCTTGTTCTTTAAAAATGTATTACATGACTCTGTTTGTGGATATGTGAATCTACATGTGATAAAATTGCATAGAACTAAACACACGCGCGTGCGCGCGTGCGCGCGCGCGCGCACACACACACACACACACACACACACACACAGAGCCAGAATTAAATCCATCACTTCTACAAAGTTGTGGTTTACTCACTCGAAACACTGAAATATATTAGGTTAGTTTTACAATTTGGCCCCATATTCTTGTAAAATATCAATCTTAAGTTTCATGTCAGGCCAAGGAAGCCTGGCTCTTCCTTATCCCTAGCTCCTCTGTCTCTGTGACTGAGTGAGTTGATTATTCTGTGCATAGTTTTGGACATTCACTATAAGAATTTCACCTTTCCTGTTTCATAGAGGTGCTCTGAGAATTAATGTAACTGGTGCCAGGATGAAAAAAATATTTAATAAAAATTCAGAAAATATATGAAAACATCTTCATTCTTTGTAAATTGATTTCTCCACTCATAGCAGAAAGTTCAAGTTTGCATTTAATGATAATAATCTACTGCTGTTATCTACTTTATCATTTCACACTTGTCTTAATATTTGATTATTTACAAATTCTAAAGGTTAAACATTTCATTGAGTTTGTTCACTTCTAAAAGTATAAATACTCCATATTTAATGGTAAAGATGCTATTATTTATGTTCATGGTATCATTTCACACTTGTCTTAATATTTGATTATTTACAAATTCTAAAGGTTAAACATTTCATTGAGTTTGTTTACTTCTAAAAGTATAAATACTCCATATTTAATGGTAAAGATGCTATTATTTATGTTCATGGTGACAACTAATATTTCTGTAGACCCTGGCTTCTGGAGGACTCCTGTCAGTTTCTGTTTATTGCCTTATGATACTGCAGTCTAGTTTTGTCACCAAATATAGTTGGAAAAACTGAGCTTCATGAAAGATAGTGAATTTGTCCAGTGTTTCTCACCAGTTGGCCCCTCTCCTATCAACCAACAGAATTATATTCTATCCCAGAACTAATGCTGTTTCTTTTATTAGAAGAAACAACCATTTCCTGCTTTTAAAAAGTCATCCCTATTGAATTTGAAAGGAAATGGATACATCCAAGCCAAAGGAAGGGCAGTGTTCTCAGCAGGCCCATTAAATGTAAAATTTCCTCCTCAGATAGATGGTTACTTTGAGAAGTTGGAGGAAACTCTGTCCTGGAGAGAACCAGATCTCAAGTGTGGAGAGCACTACAGGAGTCTCTGAAATGGCACTCTCTGTACCAAAATAACCTAACTTGAATATATATCAGTTAGGAAGAAGATAAACTATTTGGAAGTATAAACTTGTCTTCAATACCAAGCCTTTTTTAAAAAGAAAAGTCAAGTTGTTTAGTTAGAGGAACCAATTGGTACGACTGATCTGACTGCATAGTTCAAATCCCACCCATCTCCTTAGCTGGATGTCATCTTCAAGAGTGTGAAATGTTTGACCTCTTTCTGTGCCACCATCGCCTCATTTATAAAAGATAGGTGGTGCTAATACTCGCCTCACAGTAGAAAATACCATGAGAACTGAAATGGTTTAACACAGCACACAAACATTAGTGAATACTCAAAAATTACTGTGTAGAAATAGGTGACTGTGAAGAATGAACTATTCATTATTTTCTTTGCTTATTACAGTTCAAAGTATTATGAAAGGCAGAATAGCTTTTCTTATTCTAATAAGTATATTTCTCAGTAAAATAAAATTTGATGCTTTTCATATTTTTGAGATCACAGATGTTCTTTCTTCTGATGAGTAAATATTGTGGAATGTTATAGTGGAAATGTCTTCCAAATACATTTGGTTCAGCAGTTTTCCACCATTCACAGTTTTATTACAGTCTTTTATTGAGTGGAATTTCATGCATTATAGTATGTGATGTGTTAATTGAAAATATTAAGTTTGTGGAGTAGAGTGTTGCCAACTCCATTCCTATGTTAAGCATAAATACATATAAAATAGATGCCTCTCACTGAAGAATTTGAGGTTATAGCGTGCTGTTTTCATTTTAGATCATAGCAGAACTTCAGACAAGCATTTCCTCTCTGAAAGAGGAGAACAGCCGGCAGCAGCTTGCTGCAGAAAGGCGGCTCCAGGATGTTATACAAAAGTTTGAAGATGAGAAGCAGCAGCTGATTAGAGATAATGACCGAGCAATCAAGGTAATCTGAAGACTTCAGTAACCAGTGGTACCAGCTGCTTTAATGTAATTAAAAGGAGGCTGAAATCCCAGCAGTGGGCAGATGAATGCAGGTATCTGGCTTGTTCACACAGCCTGCAGTCATTCCAGTCACTGGACTCTACCTTTGATGTATCCAGTGACTCAGGCTGACTTCCCTCCAAGAGATCGCATGCCAGCATAAAAAGTCATTTTTGGCAGGCCCAATCCATTCACATTGAACAAATGTTTGAAAAATACCCTGTCCTTTCTCTTGAGAACCACTTTGGAATTGTCTCTTGAAATTAAAATGACTGTTTTAGCCCAGTACTGCTGGCTAATAAATTTAGAAGTCAGCCTCCAATTTATATTCTATTCTTTGCCCACATCCTTTCATTATGTATTCGCATAATGAGAAATAACCTGTTCAAGGCTGGGAATGCCAACCATTTGATGTTCTTTGACACAGTACTGGGTAGATGTGTTGCTGCTGAGAACCTAGGTTGTTTCCAAATGACTTCAGAGAATCACTCCTTTAATAGCAACAGAAAATTCCTTGGACCCTGATTCTTTAGGTGATAGGCAGTTAGATCTCAAAGTAGTTTTTTCTTGGCTTCATAGCAGTGAGTATTATTGTAAGTGTCTGCATCGTGCTGTTTAATCTGTGAGGATAAGCATCTGGAAACCTTTATAAATAAGGCTTAAAAGAGAACAAAAAATTTTTTTTAAGAATTCCCAGCAAAAGATTATTTTTCAGTGACTTTACTTTGTTATAACAATTCTTAAAGCATGTTAGAGTAATCATATAAAGCAAAGAAAAATGAAAGAAAAATTTGGGTTTTATAGCTGCCCTTTTCTGCCTAACCTCTCTCCATCTTCCTTTTCTATACCCTATTGTATGCAATCTGAGTAATTTAGGGAAAAATTGGTGTTAATATATTTCTTTTTTATATATACCCTTTAAACCTGGGCAACACTGAATAGAATAAAAAAGCTTAAGAGATGGACAAAACATTAGAGGCCATTACATCTATACTCGTCACTTTATAGCTGAGGACTTACCTTTTTCATTAATGACGTTTTCCCCATATATTTCCACCTGTGAGCTTTCTTCCCCCCACATGTGTTATGAGACCAAAAAACATTGTTTCTTTTTCATATGCTGGTCATTTAAAAACATCTTTCACATTTTTTCATTTACATGTGCACAGGAAGTTCCCACTGGTCTGTATAACTGTGTAACTGTATTGCTTTGCATGAACTGAGTTGCCCACTTTTAAAAAATTGTTTTAGTCATATAAAGTTTCATTTTCAGTGAATTTCTTTTTTTTCCTTTATGTCCAAATAAAAAGTGGTAGATAACTTCCAAATTTTAAGTAATTGAATCCCAATATAAACAAAAAGGAAAAACATAAATTAAGTATCTCCTAGCAGCATATTTCTAGTATTGTTTCTTGAAGATTAAAAAAATCTTGAAATAATTATAATTAGTATAATTGCCAGTTTTTAATTGTTCATTCTTATCGTTTTAATCCATTTACCTGTTAAAAGGAAAAAAACATTTTGATCTTAATTTTAAACAAAATCCCAAGTCAGAAAGACTGAATTTAAAAGATGGCAGTTTATATTATATAACATATATAAAAAAAAATGTACCATGTGTTACTTGAAAATAAAGAATTAAAATTAAGCTACAGTTCAGTTTGACTCACTCACTTAGATCATACGTAAAGTGAATGGCATTTTTTTTACTAACCTACGTTAATGTTGCTAATTGATTCATTAGAACTCATTGCCTTGGCTCTCTTTTTTCAGGCTTTGTCACAAAAAATAGGAAGAATAGCTGATTTTTATTCAACATGTAATGTATGTCAGGTCTCTGTCAAACGTTTTCATTCATCTCGTGTTCCATTATCTCATTTAAGCCTTACGGTAATCTTTATGAAGATTATTATCCTCATATTACAAACGGGGAAACTGAGGCTCTGAGGTTAAATAACCAGGCTGAGATCATACTGCTAAACAACTGGTGAAGCCAGGGTCAAGTCACAGTCTGTCTTACTTGAGAGCCTTGCCTATTAACTATTACACCACACCTCAGTATCCTACATTCTGTCTATGAAAATTAGTTAAATGACCAAGTGCAAAAATGAACCTGGATGTCCCCACTGGCTGCCTGAATGATATAGCATTTTTGCAACAGTTGTTTGATTTGGACACCCTAATCATATCCGAGTGTTTTATACATATAGGTATAGATACATGGATGGATATCAGTACTCAGAGAGAGGCACAGTCACCATGAAGTTTGATTTTCTGAAACCAAATACGTTTGTCTGTAGATATTGAATGGTGCTGTAAAAACAGTGTATACTCATTGGCAAACGTACTTTACCCCTATTTGGGGATGATGATGAGTTGAGCCCTCTCAAGCTGGTGATTAAGAATGGCAATAGAAGTAGATCTAGCAGTCACTCTGTCAAAGCTTCAATAATGTTTCCGTGGACAGATAACACCTTTTGTTAAAGTAATTCTTTAGAGAAACTTGAGGTATGCAGTGGTCTACTAAAATCTACTTCAGAAACCACCAGTCTGGTGCAGTGTAACTTGATAAAACACTTCTGGAGGATAATTTGGCAAAACCCATCTTTATTAAGTTGCCTGAGAGACATGCCTACGCTTTGAACCATTTCCAGAATTTGCCCCAAGGTGGCAATTAAAGAATTGTACTATATTTAGCTAGTCTTAAAAAAAAATGTTTGTTCTAGCATTCACTCATTTATTTAGTAACTATTTATTGAGCTCCTATTGTGTGCTCAGCACCTGCAGCACCAGCATTCTGTATCTCCTCTGTATTTTTTACCACAACAAATAAACTGAAAACTATGCACTATTGAAAATGATGTCAGTGAAGGGTATTTAAAGATGTTAAAAATGTTCACAAGACATTTTCCAGTGAAATTCAGGTTATAAAAGATATACATATGAGCTTATTTTTGCAAGTGAAAGTACATATCAACAAAAAAACCCTGCATTCATATATCAAAATTCTACCAGTGGAAAATCTCTGAGTGGCAGAATCTGTGGTGATTTATTTTATTTCATCTATGTTTAAATTATGACATCACTTTTACAATAAGAGGCAATACAAATTATTTGATGAAAAAGGAAGAGCCACCAGCCTGAAGGAATGCAGTGGACATTAAGGGAACAGTGATAGCCGAGGTTAACAGCAGGCATGATCCTCGCTGCCCAAGAAACAGCAGGTAAAGTAAGGTTTTTCCCAGAATAGAATTCCTTTAGTATAAAAAGAGTTATAGAAATATAAGAATGCATCTTCTATGCTGTAATACCCTTTCTTTAAAAAAATCAAGAGCAAAAATCTTCTTTATCGCTTGCTGCTTTAGCTCACTTTTTACATTCAAAGTCACGCTTCTCCGCTGCATAACAAAACTTGGTGACCTAGAACAACATCTATGTTATATGCCCAAAATTCTTTGGATCAGGAATTTGGGCAGGGATCAGCTGGGTGGTTCTTCTGCTCAATGTGTAGTATTGGCTGGGGTGCCTTATGGGGTAACATTCAGCAGGAAGCTTGGCTGGGACTGGAATGTCTGAGAAAGTTCCAGGCCCTCTCCATGTGGCCTTTCTCTCTAACAGACTGGTCAGACTTCTCACATAGTGGCTGGTGTTGAAGAAGGAGGAGGTGAAGGCAGAGCCAGCACTTCTCTTGAGGCCCACCCTAGGAAGATTCACAGTGTCACTTCCTCCACATTCTGTTAGTCAAGACAGGTCACAGGACCAGCCCAGGATCAAGGGGAGGGGAAATAGAGTTTGCCTCTCAGTGGGAGGAGTTACAGAGATTTTGAGGCCACCTTAAATCCACCACAGTAGTCAATACTAAAGGTCTAATTTTCATCTCCCATTCATTCCTCAACTGCACAAAATAGCACAAAGAAGAAAATACCTATATTCCTATCACCCAGAAGCAACATTGTTAATTAACATCGTGTTATATTTGTAGCTATCTTTTTTTATAAAAAAGAAAATATACTCATTGTATTTGCAGAAATGGAAAATGACTTATTATAAATAATTCAAAATGCAGGAGGAAAAGGTTAAAATTTTTAAATTCATCCCAAATCCCATGACCCAGAAATAACCATCACAGAATTAAGATGAACATCACTTCAGATATCTTACTATGTGTAAGGAAAAAAGAAAGGAAAGCCGAATAGACATGAAATGAATACTACTCTAGATTTTATATTTTTGTTTGCTTTAGAAAATGATTTAATTCTACTTTAGTTCAACAAATGAAAAGAACTGGAGTAAAACAGAAAAAATTATTGAGCTTTTGGACAGAACTTATTGATTTTTGGCTGAAAATTGTGGACATTTCCACCCTTGCACTTCTCCCATAACCCTTCCTTACTCCCTTTTACCTTGGGTAGTAGTAGTATTTTCATACTGTCCAGGTTTACAATTTTCACAATTCGTTTCTAACCATATCCTTTAGTTTTATACTCATGCTTTATTTAGGTAGAGGCAGTGCTTTCACTAGCCTTTACCATGGTGTCTCCATTCCCAAAGTTTTTACTTTGATTTGATTCTTAATTGGCTGGATAGTACTAAATGGTACTCTCTCCCCTGAGTTTCATCATGTTGGAGAATGTCTGCTGGTTAAACTTTCTGTTTGTATGAAGTGCTGGAAGGGCATGATTCTTCTTTACATTTTCTTTCCATGTGTAAACACTGCTAGCATTCAATATTGCTGTGAGGAAGTCTGCACAAGACTGTTTGTTTCTTCATGTAAACGATTTGCTTTTTCGAGGGGTTTCTGAAGAGGTCTTTCTTTATCACATAAATTTAGCAGATTAACCAGGATACATTTAGTAATTCACCAGGATGCATCTAAATGTTCAGCATTCAAAAGCAAATGCTTCTGAAGCACAGTGATTCTCTTCTTTCTGTAAGTGTAACTGATTCGTAATGTCTCTGCAC